AACGGATCCGGGGAGAAGCCTGAGATAGACAACATGTCAGCATGGCAACAGCGACCGTTTCAAGATGCTGATTTACCATCAAGTACTACCTTCCAGTGCTTCTCAGCGGCCTCCATGTCAGCGCTGAGCGCGTCGCGTACGGAGTGTTCGAAGCCCGAGCGAGTTGGTGCCGCAAGACCAGCGTAGTTGGCGTGCAGCTCCTCAAGCATAAGCGCGAGCGAAGCTCCATCTAATATATTGAGAGTGAGCACGCATGTAGTCAGCAACGCGAAGGAACGACGCACCGAAGATGGCATGATGCAAGGACAACACGAAGGTCGATCCTGCTCCCTCTGCGCCACGCAATACAGCCGCGCACCACGGCCTCTCCAGCTCTATTCTTCCTGCCGCCTCGCCGAGATATCCTTCCAAGATACCCTCGCCACCTTCTCTCTCCTCCCAAGCGCCCATCCTTTCCTCCCAGCCCTTATCGACAACGACCGCGAACGGCGCGATCCTGCCCGCCTCTGCAACATCCACCAGCACGAACTTTGCCCTCAAGATAGCGTTCCGCTTGACAACGCTCGCCCACGCCTCCTTCAGCTGGACAACGTCGATGTCCGCGCGTAGATGGAAGACACTATGATTGATGTATCCTCGCCCGCCTTCGCTCCGAAGGTAGAGCGCGAGCACACCGGCTTGCATTGGCGTCGCAGGCCAGACCTCGGCGTCCTCCTCTACACCTAGGCTCGCGCGGAACGTCGCGATGGTCTCATCGACAGCAGCCTCACGCCTGTCACTGTCGTCCTGTGACTTGGAGGTAGCGGCAGTGACGATGTCGGCTACGGTCTCGCAGGCGAGGATGTCTGCGAAGGCCGGCAAGCTCTTTTGCGTCGGCGTCGCGGAGAGATGCGAGGAGCCGGACAGCCTTGAGCGAGTCGAGGCCAAGTCTGAGCAAGCTCGAGCGTGCGCGTACGGCGGAAAGTGGTACTTCAGCGATCTCCGATACGAACTTCTTCACGAGCTCGAGTGCTGGCGACGTATGCTCGTCCTCGGCGTCCTCATCGACCTGGTTTGCGTCAATAATAGCCTGCGTCTCAAGCTCGCGCTCGCCAATGATGCGTGCGGCGGCGCGCCTATCGGCTTTTCCTGAGCTTGATCGTGGAACGGACGCGGCGAAGTAGTACGCCGCTGGGCGCACATGAAGGGGTAACTTGTCGTCCGCCTCCTTCCTGAGCCGCTCAAACAAGACTATTCTGCTCGAGCTCTTGACCATCAGGAACTAAGAGCGCCGAAAGACGCTCATTCGAGACCACAGACAAGACGGTCTGCACTCCGGCAATAGCGCTCAAGACCGAATCGATCTGTGGGAACCATCATCAGCCCATCCGGGTCGACAAGCGCCCATATCGGCAATCACGCACCTCGCCGAGCTCAACACGCCGACCACTGACCTTGACTTGGTCGGCTCCCATACGGCCCAAGTACTCTATCTCGGCCCATTTCCCCTCCGCGCCTACTACCGCACGAGCCCAGTCTCCTGTCCTGTACACTCTTCCCACGCCCGGCACCTCCACGAAAGCGCGAGCGGTTTGCTCGGGGTTGTTCAAGTAGCTAGACACACTGGTTAATATAAGGCTGATTACAGCGGAGAAGAATAGGCTTACCCTTTCGCAAGCTGATCGCCGGCGAGAGCAAGCTCACCCGCGAACCCAAGCGGTACAGCGCGGTTCTCGGTAGGGTGAAGCACGAGCATGCTGGCCGTCGGAAGAGGGGGACCAAGACGTGCGCCCGACTCGTTGTACGGGTGAGCGCGCAGGGTGACATTAATGGCAGCCTCAGTCGGACCCTGCAATGATTGTTAGCTAGGCATAGGAGGCTACAGAGCAAGTAATACGCACGTAGGCGTTGTACAGTGTGAAACCAGGGCGAGTGAACTCGGCGATGACCCGATCACTGAGCTTCTCACCCATCGTCCAGAGCTCGAACTTATGCTCGAGTCCATCGATCGGACCGTAAAGCTCGCCACGCAGCGCCACTACAAATGCATCAGTGTATAGTAGACCAAAAGCATAGAGTTCAACATACCAATCCGGTCAGCCTTTAGCACAGCTGCCATGCTCGGCGTCGCCATCATATTCGTTGCTCCAAGTTCGGTGAGGACCTTGTCCGGGTCGCTCAAGAACCGTGGCCTGTCGGCGCTCAAAAGCGTCGCGCCGCAAGCGAGGGTGCAGAATATCTCCATAACCGACTGCGAACGTCCAAATCGTCAGTAGGATCATCACGGCGAATGCAAACAATGATGCATACCGGGTCGAAGGTTGCGGCAGCGAACTGGAACCAGCGCGCGGCCGGCGAGACGCGGCGTACGCTGAGATGACCGTGAATGGATGTCGCAGCCGCACGATGCGTAATCTGCACTCCCTTCGGCTTGCCAGTTGAGCCAGAGGTGAAGAGTACTGCAGGATATTTCAGCCCATAACCGCTAGTCGAGGTATATGAACGTGGCCAACTCACCGTAGGCAAGATCATCAGGGCTCTGGACGAGCTCGTCCAACGCATTACCCGTCTTTGCAGCGCGCTCCTCCAACTCCTTCGCAGCACTCGCGTCGACCCACTCGACGCTCTCCGCGAGCCACTCTGGTCGCGCACCAACACCCACGACTACCTTCGCCCCAACATCTTCAATCAGCTCAAGCACGCGTGTGAGCGGCGTGCCGTCGAGAGTGGGGAGCGGTGCGAACGCCTTGCCTGCGCGAAGTATGCCGAGGTACGCGACGTAGATCTCGGCGCTTGCGGGAATGAGGAATGGAATGACGCCGTTGTCCGTACCAGTCAAAGCCAGCAAGACCTTCGCGAGTGCCGCAGAGCGTTGGTCGAGTTCGCCGTAGGTGAGGACGTGACGCTGAGGCGTGGAGCCAGGCGCGGCAAGATAGTCGACGGCTGCGTGTGATGCGCGAGACTTTGCGGATAGCAGGAATGGCGCGTGAAGAAGCACGGGCAGCTCCGACTCAGCGGGGAATGTTTCGGGAGAATCGTTCAAGATCGAGAGAGCATCGACCTCGGATGCCGGATTTCGGTTTAGGACGCGCGCGTACGTATCGAGCAGGCGTTGAGCGAGATCGGACGGGAGAAGTTGTTGATTGAAGCGTAGAGTGACACCCTTCTCCGTGTCGAGGATACCGAAGTTGGATGTGGAAGGTGTGACATTCTCAAGCAGACTCAACGACGCCTCGATGCTCTCCAATCCAGCTACTTTCGCTCGTCAGTAAATATTCGCGCGTCTGTAGAATATGACGACATACCGTCTTCTTCTGCGCGAACAACGATCTCAAACCTCTCCGGTGTACCCGGCTCGTCGAGGCCTTCAACGACTACGGTTTTGTCGCCGTTCAGATGAAACGCGAACTCGGCCGTCGTTCCGAGCAACGCGCGAACCGCGACGGCAAAGGCTTGTACGCGGGCCTCCTCAGTTGGCGCCTCGGCGCCTTTTGCAACATCAAGTGTCAGCTCAGAGTTGAATGCAGCGTCTGTACGCGGTGCGGGATAGAAGCAGGGTATGCGCGTCGTAGGTAGCGCCCTCATGTCGTCGAACGCAGTGAGTATGAAGCCGAGAGACGAGAGTTGAAAGTCAAGAAACAGATCAGCCGAGAGCACGCCTTTCTGCCCTGGTCATTTGCACCGGCACCTGCGCGGTCCTCTCAGAGTTGGGTGACATGCTGTAAGAAGTTTCTTCAATTGCCCGTCCCGGGAGGTCGTGGTGACGGAGAAGGCTTGGGCGCTTGCGGCTCGGGCCGCGCCGCCCCTTGATGCGCC